TGTGCAGCAGCTGCTGCTGCAGGCTCTAGCGCTCCTGCTGCTGCTTGTGCAGCAGCAGCTGCTGCAGGCTCTAGCGCTCCTGCTGCTGCTTGTGCAGCAGCTGCTACTGCAGGCTCTAGCGCTCCTGCTGCTGCTTGTGCAGCAGCAGCTGCTGCAGGCTCTAGCGCTGCTTCTGCTGCTTGTGCAGCAGCTGCTGCTGCAGGCTCTAGCGCTCCTGCTGCTGCTTCTTCTGCTGCTGCTGTTGCAGGCTCTAGTGACCCTGCTGCTGCCTCTGCCGCTGCTGCTGCTGCTGCTGCTGTGACCGGGTACCCCGTTTGAGGGACACCCCCATCGGGGGAGACAGCATTACCCCTGCCACTGGTGCTGCTGCTGCTGCTGCTGCTGCTGCTGCTGTTGCTGCTGTTGCTGCTGTTGCTGCTAGAGGCATTGCCTTGTACCAGACTGTCCCCAGCATCGGCAAGGAGAATCAGCGGAGGTCCGGCAGCAGGGAGGCGTCTGCTGCTGCTGCTGCTGCTGGGGACAAGGAGAGGAATTGCTGCTGCTGCTAAGAAGAGGAGCAGCAGCCTGTGCACCCGCCTCCCTAGTTTACCCATTGCCAGTCGTACCTGTATTAGAATACACGGTTGCTGCTGCTGCTGCTGCTGCTGCTAATAATAATAATAATAATAATAAAGAATTCCCCTAAGAGGGGTGTATATAGTATAAGTTTATAAAAAGAAGAAAGAAAGACCTGCTATAATGGCAGCAGCGGCGTTCTGTCTATCTAACAGAGGAGGAGGAAACCGCTGCTGCTGCTGCTGTGCTGCTGCTGCTGTGCTGCTGCTGCTGCTGCAGCGACAAGTGCATAAAAGAAAGAAGAGGTAAACACACAACCCCACCTTAAAAAGAGGAAAGGGGAAAGAGAGAAGTTAGGAAGAAAGACACCTACAGCAGCAGCAGCAGGTGGCTCAGGGTCACCTCCTGCTGCTCAGGGCGAGCAGCAGCAGCAGCAGTAACAGCAACAGCAGCAGCAGCTGCTGCTGCTGCTGCTCGCCAGCAGCAGCTCCTGTTGTTGCTGCAGCTGGAGAAGAAATTCAATTGAAATTTTAATCTTTATATTTTCTAAAAAATTATTTTTTATTTATTTCGCAGCAAAATGGTCTGCTGCTGCTGCTGCTGCTGCTGCTGGAAACCGTTGCTGCTGCTGCTGCTCGTGCTGCCGCTCTAGCTGCTGCTGCTGCTCGTGCTGCTGCTCCCACAAGTGTGTGTGCCTATGTCTTCTTTTGGTGCTGTGTTGTCTCCAGCAACATTTAACTCCCTTAGCATCCTATACACCCCAAAGTGTTGTTGTTGCAGCAGCAGCAGCAAGTTTGCAGCAGCAACAGGAGCAGCAGCAAACAGCCCGACGCTGCTGCTGCTGGTGTGTTAACTAACACCTTCATAGGCTGCTGCTGCCTTCTACCTAAGCAGCTAGCGATCTTAACCCCCGAGCTAGCCTCACAGCTAGTCACAGCTAGCCATCAAGAGGCACTGCAGCAGATACCCCGCTAACTCACAAGCAGCAGCTAGCTGCCCCTATAAGCAGACACAGCTACCTATCTAGCTAGCTATCTAGTTAGCTAACTAGCTAACTAGATAGCTAGCTAGCTGTATCTGCTGTGCACCACCTACCTAGCTAGCTAGCCAACTGTGTAGTTAGTTCCTCCCTTCTCCCCCTTTTGTCTGTGGGTGTTGGTAGGTAGCTAGCTTCTGCTGCAGCAGCAAGCTGCTGCTGCTGCTACATGCCCCCCAAGCTATCTGTCTATTTGCATAAATCTGCTGCTGAAGAGAACAGCAGCAGCAGCAGCAGCAGCAGCAGGAGAGACAGGTGTGGGGTATGTGCTGTCTATCTGCCTCCATTTGTCTCTCCTTTTCTGTTTGCTGCTGCAGTGTGTCTCTCTCGCTGCTGTTTTTCCTTCTCTGTCTCCTTGTCTATTTGCTATTTGCTGTTGCTGCTGTTGCTGCTGCTGCTGCTGCTGCTGCTGCTGCTGCTGTGTCTGTATATTTGCTGCTGCTGCTTGTGTGTGTCTTTTGCTGCTGCTGTCTATCTAAGCGGAATTAATTTGGTCTAACGCCCACTAAAACAAATATTGTCTCGCTGCTGCTGCTGCTGCTGCAGCTGCAGCAACTGCAGCAGCAGCAGAAGCACATCGTCTTGCTGCTGTTGCTGCTTTGCTGCTGCTGCTGCAGGTGCTGCAGCAGCAGCAGCAGCAATCCGCGTGTGGGGTCTAGCCGTTGCCTCTGTCTCGTTACTTACGAAGACAAGAGGCGCCCCTAAACTGTAGGGGTATTGTCAGCAGCAGCAGCAAACTGCTGCTGCTGCTGCTGCTGCAGCAAGTGCTGCTGCTGCTGCAGCATTACCTACTGCAGCGTTGTCTTAAACATAAGCAACAGCAGCAACAGCAGGAACAGCAGCAACAGCAGCAACAGCAGCAGGAGTTATAACTACCCTGCTACTACTACTATTGCTGGTCTGCTGTTG